GGCTATAGCTTGACATTGTGTCTTGGTTGGTACTGGAGGAAAGAGACACATCATTGTTATTCACTTGTTCAACGATATCACTTTGTGAAGTCACACCGGTTTCCGTGCAACCAAAACCTGTTAATACTGGAGATTTTCCTATGGAGTCCCCAGCGTGATAGTGCTGCGGCTGACTTCCGGAAACCGTGTCATGGTCTGCAGTGCTGCGGTGGCCTTCTTCCTCCACGCTTCCAATCAGTCCAGGTCCCAATCTGGGGATTGGCCGAGCCACATTTTCATTGTTGTACAAAATTCCTGTTTCTTGATCAGATCGTATTGGCTTCGAGCTTGAGTCAGAGGCATCGGAGTGGTCATGATCCATGTCGAGTGAGCAGTGACGAAGCTAGATTGCAGCTCAATGCCGTAGCAAGTTACATGTACGGATGGCCCCACACCCAAAGCCGCAATCTTATCTGTTTATAGGTTTATTAGTGCCATCAGGACTCTGTACAGAGTATCTAGCTAGTATGAAGTACAGAGTACGGAATAGGTAATACCTAGTATTACCGGAGTGCAGATTTGTTCTTTTCTATTTTGACGGACAGCATAGATACACCTAGGATTTCGCATGTTCTTTCTCGGGCTCAGACGCGGGAACAGTCTTCGATTACTACAGAATAGGTCTCAAGTTGCTTGGAAGAGTGATTGCCTGATTAAGTAGGCCTTCGTATCTGCACTTGCTCCTGTCAATTTAAGAGCACGGGCTAATACTGAATTCCCGGGGGGGGATGAGATAGAAAGCTGAGATGGGCTAGAATGAGAGTAGAGAACGCGAAGAAAAGAGGAAGTATGGACAGAGATACCTTATCTGATCTTTTGAGTCTTCGCCAAGCTGAGCACGATGCTGCTACGCAGTAGCAACTAATGGAATTTAAGGTAATTGGTTCTTCACAAGCAGCGTTGTTTGATTTGGAATTCCTGAATTCTAAGGTCTGAGACGCGGGCTACCTAGCCAGAGACTCCAGATGATAACCCCTAGTAAGCCCCGATATCCGCTCCGGCGCGAGCAAGAGTCTCATAAACTCTCGGCGGTAATTTGTACTTAACCATACCGGAGAAGATCATCAGATCCTTGGCCATGAGGAGTAATTCATCAGCTAGGCCTTGCCTGGTCTCGTTCTCATACACTCCAGAACTCAACCTTGCCCTTTCATGGCCAATGCAAGTAATACTCCACATTATCACGTGCCCGACGTTACGTGCAATGATTGGAGGGAAAGACGAGAAAGCTTGAGCAGCACTTCGAATAAAGGAAACCGAGCCTCTTGCACGCAAGGGTAAGATGTTCAATTCATTGATAGCCTGAGGGAAAGTTAATCAGTGGGAGAGAACGAGGACGAGGTGTGGAAGTGAAAAGTGGAGAGACTTACATCCAGAGCTGGCGTCCATTGGCCTGCTTCAACTTCTCCTTTCGCCTCCATCATTCTAAGCAATAAACCGCAAGCATCACGATTGATCTGACGGATTCGCTGATAATAAAGAGCGTTTGTATTGTAGAGGCCAATCATATTCTTCGCCAGAACCACCGGATCATCCACTGCTGTAAGACTTAGGCTACTTCCAGGTTCCGCGGCCTCTCCATGTTCATCACTGGCATGCTGCTGTAGATTAGTTCGTGGCCGCAACGGCTGCAGCTTCAAACCGGGGCCGCCTAACTCCATTGCTACAGCGTCCGACAGTGCCCGGTTGATGATGTCGATTACGCGATCGTAATCCTCAGCAAGGTGATACAAGAGGACTGCATCTGTTACAAGTCCCTTGTCATCGGCGATCGCAGCAGCTTGCATTGTTATTGTTTTCAAAAATTCTTCTTGATCGACCAATTTGATCAAGCTCATGCGTTGCTCAATCAAGCCCTTAATTCGAGTCCCATCCGAGCGGATATCACCAAGTAACTTGGCAAAATCCCTCGTCTCTAGAACAAATTCCCGTAATGCTTCGTGACACACGGACGCTTGAGATTTGCCCAGAGAACCAGGGAGGTCGGCGTTAAGACAGAGCAAGCAAAAGTAGTCGATTGCTGCCTCAACATATCCTGTACGAAACTCCCTTGTGTACTGGGTGATGAGATATCCAAAATTGATCTGCGGATATTGTTTCACAGTAAAAGATACTATTTTTGTCAGTAGACGTCACAGGGAAGTATGAAGCTTGGGAAGAAATGCTTACAGATTTCTTCCGCAGATGTGTAGAAGTCTGACACGCGTAGCAGACCATAGTACGCCAAGGCGATTGCGAAATGCACGGCACTGACTGGCGCATAAGAGCCGAGGTATGAAATTGCCTGTTCGAACATCCCTCCTAAGATCTGCAGTAGAAAGAAGATGCCGTAACCACCGGATGCCTCCTGGCCCTTGCCAAAAATGCGCTGACCGATCTCTGTGATATCCGTCTGGATATCCTCGAGACCAAAAACATCCCCAGCGATTTCTTCAGCACGGTCGTCTTCTCTGGCCAGACTGAATTGAAGCCACATCCAATCTTCGACACTCTGATTTATGCCCTCCAAGCGCCTACGGGCTAGGTCGCACCGGCCAATGATCTTGTAGCAAGCCATGCGATACGGATCAACCGTGTTATCAGGGGCATTGCGTGAACGCTGTTGGTATTCACCATTGATCTTTTGCTGCAAATCACGCGGTAGCCGCCTGTTTTGTGCATAAGTCGTCATATATGTCACGAATTTGTGATCAAGGGACCGGAAGCCAGGATCTTGGCTAACGTATTCTGCCGCTTCGGTGATGAATCCGCACCGAAGAAGATAGAATATCAAAATCCAGCAATAATCCTGCCCGACCATCTGTAGCTCCGTTCCGTCTGGTGCAAGGTCTTTCCTTGCCGCTCTCAAGCGAATATAGGCTCGAATTTTGTTGATAACCGTCGGAATTCCTCCAAGTTGCGCTTCTCGAGGATTCTTTGCGATCATATTCTCGACTTCGTTGTAAAATACTTTCTCTAGGAAGCAACGAGAGCCCTCGACTATGCGTTTTTTGAGGTTCGTTGCCCGGCGTGAGTTTGGTGTCTCGTCCAGATAATCCTCAGAGAACTGTCGCTCTCTCACCGTACTAGGATCCGAGAGACTGGTGGTGCTCGGGGGCTCTTTGACGATACTGATCAAAGCTCGGTACGCATCAAAAAGCTGGCAAGGTACCTAATAAACTTAGTCAACCTTGGGATCATGGCTGTGTCACCGTAACTTACATCGCCACCAGCATGTCGCTCCACTTCCGAGAATTCATGAAGAAGCGGAAACACTTGCCCTTGTATCCGGGCAGAATTTAACAGCTGAACCTTTTCCGCGTAATGGCCCATTTTTTCGCGCAAAAATCGAAGATCCGGGGAGTGAGTTCCGGATGCATCGCCGCTTTCCAGGGGATCCTCGAAAAGCTGATGACTTGCTCTACCAGTCCCAGGGTTACCTATGACTGACTTTCCCAGGCCGGATCGTCCGAAAACGCTCCGGCGGGAGACGCCCGCAGCTTCGTGGGAGGGCAAAGGACCGGTTAGTCTAGAAGGTCTGGTTGAGCGACCGAATGAATTCCTCATGTTCCCAGCAGTGCCATCCTTATGTGCCAGTCCAAAGTGCTGAAAGATTCTCTGGCGCTGATCCTCCCAGTCTAAATCCACTTTCTCCTCCAGAAATGTATCAAAGTCTCTCTGAGCTCGAGCAAGACTTTCGGCAATCATCACTTTACGCCCGCGCTGTTGTATGCTTCTCAAGAATTTCTGGTTGTCAGGGTCAAAAACCTCCTGTTCCTTTGGAGGGAGACCTATGGAAGCCTGGGGGTCTAGTGCTTTGAGGTCCCGTAAAGCATGTCCGGGCGACACGCCCGAAGCGGCAAGAAGATAGTGGCTATAGAAGACAGAGATCAGCGGAATCATCCGAATCATGAGTCAACGCCAGGCAAAGGCAAAGCTTACGCTTTACTGGTCGAACCAGGATGCAGGCGGTCGTTCAACCCTCTACTGCCAAGTTCTCTTGCTTTCCTCCGAATGTCGTCGAGGCCTAGTTGAAGGCTGGGTAACTCTTCGAAATTGCTGCCTTGGCCAACTGAAGCAATTGGTCTCTTTTTGCCGCGCTCTAGGAGGCTGTTGAAGAACGCGGGCTGGGTAGTTTGGCCAGTAGGTCGTGAGGATTGTCCCGAACTCATCTGTGCTTGATCTTGTCCAAAGATCGACGACTGAAGGGGCTGTTGCTGGGTTGGCGGCTGATTACCAAAGAGCGAAGCATTCGGTGCAGCTTGAGTTGTGGAAGCAGTCCCAAAAATACTCGTTGAATTGACAGCCGAAGCTGAGCTCGCCGGTTGAGTTGCCGCTCCTAGGCCACCAGCTCCAAATAAGGAGCCAGAGTTTGTTGAAGACATCGAAGCAGTGTGCCGCGTTGGGCTTGGTCTCGGATACGCGATGGTGAATGAGCTTGATATTTTCGACAAAAACAGACTGAGTCACAAGCTGTGATCATTCAATTTGGGCGATCTCTACCAAGCGTTAGAGCAGGTAATTGACACTGGAAATTTATATGAACGTGGGAAGCTCGCAGACTCATAAGAATGTGTGAAATAGAAGCAGATGAAAAGGAGCAATGTAGATAAGAAGAGGAACAATGTAGATAAGAAGAATCTAGCAGAATAAGACCTTACATCAGCTTGTTGGTCTTTCCAACTGCTAGAACAGTTTGTGTTTTTACCAACTGTACAAAATATTGTAGTAACCATAAATATAGTGAAAACGGCTTATTTGCTGCGCAACAAGCTATGTCGGAATTAATGTTTCACCGGTTGCTTCGATCTGAACTTTAGTACCTCTATCTAGTAGATACTCTTGCCGACGCTATGCGATTTACCAGAATAATTAAGGGAACAGTACTCCGTATTTCTTCATCCTCTTGAGTACCCAAGCGCAAAGTGCTATACTTGGACAGGAGGTTTAATTAAGTGAACGCTTAGTGGTCAGCCTTCAAGATGCCTGTTTTTCAGGCAAAAACATTCCGGCGTGCGACAACAGCCTCATCATCGCTGGGAGAACGGGTCGGCGCAGCATATAGAGGAAGCCTACCGAAGCATCCTTTTCTACTCTTTGGTCTTCCATTTATCATGATCATTGTGGCGGGGTCTTTCGCCTTAACACCAGCCGCTGCTTTAAGATATGAAAGATATGACCGAAAAGTGAAGCAACTCACACAAGAGGAGGCTATGGAATTGGGGCTCAAAGGGGCAGATGGTGAAGAGGGAATTCGGAGAAATCCACGCAGAAGAGTTCTTGGAGATGAAAGGGAGGAATATTATGTGAGTTGACCTAATTCGGATGAGCTTGTTCCAAAGCTATTATTAACACCTGTTCAAGCGGCTCATGGCCAAAGACCTGGATAATTGGGAACAAAAACGAGTCCAGAGGTTTAAGGGTGAACCTGATGGGAGACTTTAAGCTTCCTAATAGCTGGACAACGCCTTCTGAAAACAGGCGCTACTCTTACTGGTTTCCAGCAGGATATTCTCTTTTGACTACCAGGCTTATGTTGGCTGTGGCAGACACAATGGAATCACATTTGATGATTGACATGAATCTAAAACCCAATTTTCATCCTAGTGAGTGGCCTTATATATTTTCTCAACTCGCGCATGTCGGATGTGTCTAGAAACTAACCCATTAAAGTATATTTCTTCATCTCAAACTCAAGCTGAGCAAGCTAATTTGCCTTATTTCCCATGGTATCGTTAGACCTCCATTTCATGCCTAGTCTCTTTGAATCATGTATAACAAGGTGCTTATTATGATATTCTACTATTCTATAATAAATAGAGGGGTATTTTCACTAATATACTCAAGTGATAGTGTGCACAGAGGTGTAGAAATCAGCTTGGTTTCCCCTAATTTTTCATTAGACATGTAATTACTTTATATACTAGGATGTTAGCCACTGCTAGAAGTAGGTTATTAAGTTATTATCTAGGCCTTCTGAACATCACTCAGGCAGTCATACTAGATTAGTAAATGAGTGTAATCAATAAAATATAATGATATTAACCGGGCAGGTGACTACTCTGGTGCTGAACTGAGATGCATCCAGGGCTGAGTACTACCAGAGAAGTACTATATTATTCTCTACCTGTCAGTTTTCCTGCATAAATCAGAATGCAGTAACAATTCTACTGTACCCTCAAAACTGTAGTAGTAATATACCGTGTCAGGACTCAGATAATACTGGTTGTGTCATGGCTCCGTGGCTGAATAACAATAACATGATTCTCAGCTGTTCTGCTTCTGTTTTTTAAAAGCCCCTTTTGAGAGCCCCAATGTTGCCTTTGCCAAAGTTGCCACAGTATTCTTCCAGGTTTCTGAGGGGCTCGTCGAAGATCCAGAACGGCCGTTCAGTCTCACTGCATGGATTTTCTGCATATTTTGCCGCTTGACGCCTGTCCCCACCCATAACGTCATACCAAGGGAACATCTTTTCCTCTGCCGAGTTTCTCCATTCGCTATTTCCATGTTGGTCTGTTGTTCACCTCCTTATGCCAGTTGTATTCGTGATGGTAAACCGGTGATAATTGACTAAGACCAATTCTTCTGCACGCATTTCCGCCTTAGCTGCCGCATTATTAGAGACTTATGTGCCGGAGTCTGGTGTCTCATCACATATTGCTTTCTCTCATGCGAGTCTTATAATCCGGTCAAACAAGCGTATGGCTAGACCCCAGTCTGCCCATCTCGAACCCCCCCAAATCCCGTTTCTCAAAATCTCGACGACGAAATCCTTTAATAATCTATTGGAGTCATTTTCTTTGGATATCTAATTCATCACATTGCCTCCGTCTGGTGTTGCTCTGCTCTCGTCTCACTCGTTACCTCTCCTAAACAGAACGCTTCTTGATATCAGCACCTCTGTGGCGCCGAAATTGGAACGAGCTTTACTTCGCTCCTGAACCTGCCATCATTTTCGACAAGATTTGGGCCTGAGGAAATAATGATTCGTGCTTAGATCGTATACTCGAATTAATATTGATATCATTCTGAGAAGGAACTTGTCCTTGCGGAAGCCAGTGTCTTGCTTATCGCGGCATTTCGAGATGGCACAAGGGCCTCGCGCTTGATTGTGGGACTGCCGGTATTCAGAGATTAACCAGCAGGCATTCTAGCTTTGGCAATCAACATGTCCACTACGACTGACCAGAGACAATCACCTTCGTCTCCGTGGACTCAGGAGTCACAAAGCCTGCAGCTAAATGGTCTCTCAAGTCCAGCGTCTCTCTTGTCACTGCGAGATACCAATTCGTCTCCTACCAAAAGTGGCGGCGGCTTGCAAAATGCCTTTTTGGAGCAACCGAGCCCTAGCTATTTCACCATCAAGGTTGAGGACTCGAGTGACAGAACGAATGCGAGAGAAGCCACCAATGCCAAGAACCATCGAAATCCATCCTCACGGAACCAAAATTCGCACTTGAGCCGCAATGCGAAACTAATTGACCCAGAAATTGCGGGAGGCTCGGTAGATGTGTCTCAGGCTCGCTCTGAAAATGACACGGGTTTGCATAGAATGTCATTGAGCAGTGATTTGAAACAAGAGAATTCAATGGCCAGTTATAACAACACTTCCTCGGGGAACCCGGCCCCGACTGCTGTCAATATCATGTCATGTGAGCGATGCGCAGAATTACTGGAGACTTGTGGAAACGATGTTTTGTTACTAGATGTGCGGCCTTACGCACATTATGCCAAGGGACACATCAAAGGATCGCTAAGCCTCTGTATCCCTACAACGCTCCTCAAACGGACTTCCTTTGGCACGCAGAAGTTGGCCAACACCTTCACGAGCGACATTGACCGGAGATCGTTCTCGAGATGGAAACAATGCCGCTACATCATCGTTTACGACGCTGCTACACTTGACATGAAAGATGCGGCGCCAATGATCAATGTGTTGAACAAGTTTACAACTGAGGGATGGAACGGCGAAGGTTCGATCCTTCGGGGTGGGTTCAAGGTCTTCTCCAATCAGTTTACTACGCTTGTTCAGCAGCCTCAATCATCAACTCCTGGAGTATCTTCAAAGAAGCTTAACTCGATGCAGATTAGCCTTCCATCTTTTGCGCCTATTGCTGGTGGCTGTGCTTTGCCGGAGTCTTCCTCTGCCGCCATTCCTTTCTTTGGGAATATTCGCCAACATATGGATCTTATGGGTGGTGTTGGTCAAATTCCGCTCCAGCTTCCACAGAATTTTACAGATTCCAAAAGACGGTTGCTTCCACGATGGCTCCGTGATGCTTCTGACGTTGAAGATGGAGGTCAGAAGGTTTCAGAGAAGTTCTTGGAGCTCGAGAAGAAGGAGTTAGACCGGATGAAACAAGCTCTGTCATATGAAATGACCGGAGTTTCTACGTCTGCGGAAGCTCCGTCGAAGAAGTATCGGGTTGCCGGCATCGAGAAGGGCAATAAGAACAGATATAATGATATATATCCCTTCGATCACTCCAGGGTTCGGTTGCAGGATGTTCCATCAGGAGGTTGTGATTATGTGAACGCGAATTACATGAAGGCTGAATACAGCAATAAGCGCTATATAGCAACGCAAGCTCCCGTACCCGAAACATTTGATGTGAGTTCATCTATTAATTGACGTCCTTCCTATTCTCTGCACGTTCAAGTGAAGATTGCCCACGGGAAGATTGAGACAGGCAGGCTGATGGAGACATAGGACTTTTGGCGTGTAATCTGGGAGCAAGATGTTCGACTCGTCGTTTCTCTCACGGCAGAAATTGAAAGAGGCCAAGTTAAATGTCACCGGTATTGGGAGTCAGGGAACTATGGGCCTTTTCGCGTCAATAACTTTTCTGAGCGACGCATTCCTATGAAAGCGTCAGGGTCCCACCAGAACCGGCGTCAGTCAACCAAGTCATTGTCGGATTCTAGCGAAGAGCCATGCATTATCGTCAGACATTTTGGCCTGTCACACTCGGCTTTTCCATTTCAACCATTGCGAGAAGTTACCCAGCTGCAATATCCCTATTGGCCGGACTTTGGTACTACCTCACAACCATCACATCTCCTTCAGCTGGTCGATGAATGCAACGCAGTCATACGGGCAACAAGCAATACGTGCTTTGATAGTCGCGAGGCAATGCCAACAGAACATCGACCTGTATTAGTGCATTGCAGTGCGGGATGCGGCCGTACTGGTACCTTCTGTACAGTGGATAGTGTTCTGGACATGCTAAAACGGCAGCGCACTGCACGAAAGACCGAATCACAAGAAATCAGTGGACGCCCTGATACTGGGTGGATTTATAGCGATAACCTGGACCTTATTGCAAAGACAGTCGCCGACTTTCGAACTCAGCGACCTAGCATGATACAAAATTTGAGCCAGTTTGTCTTATGCTATGAAAGTGTACTAGAGTGGATGGTCGTTCAGATGGACGAAGGATGTGAAAATCTTTGACTCAAGCGATTTCCATTGCTATAACTGGCATCTGCAACAAGCATTGGAGCTACTTGGCTCTACGGGTGACTGAGATAGATATCTCATTCACAATTTCTGTCCACACATGTTCTTTTATATACGGTACTTGGATCTTAGAAAGTTATATCTGATGCAGTGCAAGCAGAAGAGCATATTTTCATCTGGATTCCTTTTTCATTTCTATAAACTTGTTTACCAGTCGTTCTCAGGCAGAGAATGGGTTGGCTTGCATATATTTAGAGATATCAGCAGGGATTTGTATGGATTTGTGCTCTAGGCTCTGGTAGAGTCGCAATGAAGATAACAAGTAAAAGAAATTAATTTTATGGCGTTAGTTCTCGATAGACAAGTAAAGGAGCATTAAGCCAACTTACTGCACATATAACTGCTAGATATGTTCTGAATATACCTCAGGGCTCTGGATGCCTAAAGTGCTGCCTGAGGACGACAGCGTATGGTATTCTTAAAGATTCACAACCAGGCAACAATGGCGGGCGGTGATACTAAGATCTATGGGATCAAGGCAGCCCCCACCCAGAGCCTCTCGTTTTCCGAGACCTATAAATGATATGGTAGTGATGCAAGGCTGATGAACTATGATTTCGTTTTGTACGACACAATTGCTAGCAGCTTCCTCCAGCTTCTGTCACAGTCGTTCCATCTAAACAGCAGCCAAGCTCGGAGCCATGTTGCTCAATCTTCCACCAGAGCTAATCCAGCTTGTACTTCAAAGTTCGACTACGCCTTCCTTTCTACAGGCGGCATTGTCCTGTCGAGCCCTGCATGAGATCGCATCCAGTAGCCGGGAAGTGATTTTGCATCATCTGCATAAAACACCCGGTTTGAACGTAGAAACACGCAGTCTCAAGACAAGGCAACTTTTTCAGCTGCTCATGAAGCGCTCGTTCCAGCAGCTATATGGTGCACAATTTTCGGCGAAATGTACAACATTCTGTTTTGAAGATTTCGCGCTCGATGCCCGAGCATCTTCGCTAGCTTCTCATGGTGAACGAGACATCGCTCTCGTTCTGAAAGGCCGGGAAGATGTTTATATTTTCCAGGCCAAGGACGGGAAGCTGCACCTGAAGGCCCAGCTGAGGTCACCTGAGGATCAACAAGGAAGGATAGAGGTGCTCAAAACAGCATTTGACAGAGAAGGAGGCGTTAACGTTCTTCATCGTCTGGTACCAGCGATAGACGAAGACGGCTTTGGCGCCACACACCCGTTCGTAAGACATGCGATACGGTCTGGTCCTCGTGTTAGCGTCTATATGGCGCGTCACTCGCTTCAGACACTCAATGAGCCTATTCGCATGTGTGCCTTTCCAGACCATGCGGAGTATGAACCTCTGGCTCTTGCTGCTGCCGGAGAGAGCACCTTTGCAATCTCTTGGCAGCACTTCCGTGAAAGCGACGATTACGAGGTTGTTCTGTACAACTCTCCGAAACAGTCGAGCGGCAACACTCCTGAGATAATCGGTACGTTACACTTCTTTACTGTCCAGGTTCACCCAGTGCTCCAATATAAGGGCAGTCATGTCATTGGTCATCATCTGATGCAAGTATAGACTGCAATTACAATGCTATCACACTCTTCGACGGGAATAGACAGCGACAGAGTAGCGACAGGTATCGTCAAGCGGGTCTGTCCAGCCCTTATGATATCACAAACGGTCCTGCCATCGACATTTCCTTCAATGACAGATCAAGCCAGTTGCTCTATTACCACCGCGCTCAAACGTTATATGGTTCCTTTCAGAGAATTCAGAGTATAAATGCTCATCCCCTCGTGGACCCACAGCCAACCCTATATCAGAATGCGTGCATGGTGCAATTCTCGGACACTTTGAGCCTTCTCTTTTCAATTGCGATACCCTTCTTCGGTACACATGCGAGGCGGAATGAGAATAATATGGAAATGTGCCATTGGCAGTACCTTGCCTTCGGTATAGCGACCCATCGGAAGGAGAACTGGACTGTCGCGTGCCTATTGAAATCCGAAGCTCGATGTCAAGCTCAGAACTGTGGGCATGTCTTGAACCTTGACCGTGGGCGGCGATTCTCGCAGTGGACAATAGTAGCTCGGCTATGGGGATTTCAGAATTCCACAAATTCTCTTGGTTGTAAAATGGCCACGTCGGACCGTGGTACTCGCCTTGCTGTCGCAAACTGGAATGTGATCTATGTGTGGGCTCTTGAGCCAAATGCACTTATCGAAGGAAATGCGAATGGATTTTACCCTCCATCCTTTCGATCAACAAGTTCAGGGATGATCGAACTACGACCGATTGTTCTCCCGCTGGATGCTGTGTGCTTCAAGCTCTGCTTCACGCATCAAGAAGATGAACTGATAGCTATTACCGATCGGGGCGTGATGTACTGGGACCTTGGCCCGTTGGGTAAAGGACAGAGAATCACTCAACGGCTGACTCTCTAAGATGGGAGAAGATTGAAGTGAAAAAATAGGCGGAGGCCTGAAAGTTTGTTTACTGAAGTGAACATGCAAGGAAGGTGACGTTGATACCCCAGGATTTCTCTTTTACAGAACTCTATATATATTGTGGCTGGTTGCCTTTAGAACGAGATGACCATGGGCGCGGAAATCCAGACCAGTGGACACCTATCGGATCATCTACTCTGAGAGATTTCGCCATAAATTCAGAGATAGAAAATGCCATCGTGCATAATGATACTGGCTCTCCATCTCCGTGTCGAAAAGACCAGGATCGAATGTAGCGTGCCGTCGATTGGTGCAAGGAGTAGAGAACGTTTGGCATGGGATAACGGTATGGTGCTGGAATGGTCGGATACAAATTGACGCTGGTCTACAGCAGACGAGTTCCTGCCACTCGATACCTTTACCGATCTTCACCTCCGGGTTCTTTTCAAAGTAACCACTCGCAGCGATGAGATTGAGACAATGCTCTGCGTGGAAGATGGATGGAATAGAATAAAGAACAATCAACACGTGGATGCGCCGAGAACGCGGCATCTACGTCTAAACGTTAAAAGGAAGAAGTACAACCCCCCGCGGCGGCTGGGACTTCCTTGGATGCCCGAAGGCCAAATTGGGAAGACAGGCGTAGGGAGAAAATCACGAACGCGCGGATCTGCATCGCAAGACTTGACGACACTATGCCTCCTATCCACAAAGCCACAGATGGAGGACTGACTGATATACAGACGGATTAAATGTGGAATTCATCGTCCTTCAGCGCTACCTGACATGGCCAAAAATGTAATAATGAGGAAGACCCACCAATACCTACGGAGGTGCGGGGTGTTGTCAGAATAAGGCCTTTCTTTTGCAGACAAGAGACGCCATAGGGGAATTCGAGGGAGGAGACCGAGCACTTACTTCTGGAAAAAGGTCTTTTCAACGACCTCTTCTGGACTCTTCCCATCTGGGCCGACCACAACAGGCCGATTGAGATGCGGACGGGGGCCGTCTTCGCTGGATAGGAGTTCTATGTTCAAGTCCGCTGAGCTGGATGTTGCCGTAGATGATGAAGACGCCGCCAATGAAACGTGGTAGACCTCGCCCGAGGGTCCAAGATGAAGTCGCAGAGTTAGCTTTTGAGCCTCACTCTCTGCAAGCAGAGAGATCGACGTAAGAGAGCCTACCCATTGTTTTGGGTTGGTTGGCGTGGAGGTGAAAAGACCCACGCGGACGAGATTTTGTGCATCCGCTTCTAAATCGCGGCCGCCTTCAAGATCCGCAATCCTTGGTGGAGAGTAGGCTACCACATCTGACGTTAAAGATGCAGGATCGTACGAGACGCGAGCGAGCACCGATGGTTGAGACGAGGCTACCGGCCAATACAGGATGTCGGCTGACCCAGCTTGAGCGGAGGACGGAGAAGCGGCGAAAGCCCGAAAGGAGAACATGGAAAGGAATGGGAGGACGACCTGAGAGAAGTGCATATTGAAAAATGGCGGTAAGGGAGAGGTATTTGAAATGTTGGTCGGATTTGCAGTGAAAACAGAGAATACTGAGGTGAAGCAGATCTATTTATCGCATCTTCCGAGGGTGCACCGAGGAGGGTTCACTAACGCAGACAAGCACAAAATGAGCATCGAGCGTGACAGATCAAGTAGGGAAGGGATCTAATGATGTGAAATTTTAGGCACATCCATACTCACTATAAATACTGGAA